GGGCGATCCAGTTACAAGGTTTGAATTTTCTCCTTGCCTCCTCCCTGAAAGGCAAACTCAAACAACATAAGTATTACATCTACCACTAGGTGATAAATCTTGGCGAGGCGGGAAACGCACACATGCTACGGATGAGAGAATCGGTGATGACTCCAAAGAGAAGGGCTGAAGTTGATGTCTACCTTCGGCAACTACCCCAATCCCGTGGTCTGCGGCAAAGCTGGCAACAACTGAAGCGACACTAGCTGTAAATTATCTGGAAGTTTCATTACAGCTTTTCCCTACTGTACATGCATCGATGGGTTTCGAAATCAGCTTTTTAAGCTAGTGACTCGAAACCAAAAAGGAGGTTAAGTTTTTCCAATTTCTTCGTAAAAGTCTATTAAAAAATAGCAGACATAACTCACAGTTAGTTCTTAATTATTTTTGATTCATTCTTACTGCTGCGACTACTATAGCATCCATGACACCTAGATTTTTTAAATTGAATTTCTACGTCCCATACATGTGACACCTGATTAAAGGGAAATGAATTAGACTAATAGAAAAAAACAAGGATAAATGTCGCTACATCTGGGCTGCCACGGTCGATCCTTCACCGGTACCCTAGTGGTAAAGGTATTCAGAATGGTCGGTCAAACCTTGCATTTAATGATGACATGAGAAGCAGACGTAAATGTCCAAACCTGGCTCTTAGTTAAAAAATGGTGAAATATTTTGACACATTGAGTTTTCCTTGAAGTCGTAAAATGTCAGTATTATGGTCAAAGGTATATTACTAGCGTAGAGGAAGACCAGGATATTCTACCGGCATACCCAGGTGGACGTGCCACATAATCAACTATAGAGTTATCAAACCTCTCAAGACACTGTACTATCACTGAAGTGACAACTGTTCCATAGATCTAATGTAAGAATATTTGTAATGTCAGAGCAGAGAATAAGTGGGCATGGAACCCACTCACTTATTCGGCCGTTGATGCCTATAATAAGAATGGAAGAACATAACTAGCTATGCATGTAGAAGAAAATTCTAAGCGATTCTCGGCTGCTCCAATATTACTCACTGAAATACTGGAAGTCCTTTTAACGTCCGAGGTTCACTTGGACTCAAAAATCATTATGTTGTCAAGTCGAGGCGACTAAAATAAAACTTCCTTCATGCACTCATTGAGACTAGGTTGGACCTGTAATGTAAGAATTGGCTTTTAAGATATCAATATTTTAACCTATAGTTTTCGCAAAATATGACCTTTTACTGACGTGGTAATGCGCAGCAGTAGTAAAAAGGAAAGCCCAAAAATTAAATGTACATAAGAGGGATGCTAAAGGAAGGTGCAAGAGGCTATGGTGCAGGAAAGATTTGCAGTCGATGGAGATTAAGCAGTCCAGGAGGCTAAAAAGGTCTACTGAAAGTCCCATATCAAGACAGTTCTGCATAATTAGCAGCAACGCGTTAATTGTTTGCCTGACTCTTGCATTTGGTAAGGGAGCACTTAGGGCTCCGCCATTTCAGGGCCGCTGGGCGGCATGGTTTCAGGATCATGCTGGTGGTCTCAACTCCTTCTGTACGTCAACAATATATACATTTACCGAGGGAAGACTAGGGACGCCGCATTACCTTAAGTGGCCTAGGCAGTCAGTATTATCAGTTAGGCAACTAACTTAATTAAAAGACTGGACAGGACTACTTGTTAACTTGAGACAGTAGATCTTTGAAGATTTTACACCAGAAGGCTCTTAACACAGTGTCACAGCGAACCGTATGAGTGCGATCTCGTAGATTTTCATATTATTTACTCGAAGTCAACCGACATTTTATATGCTAAAATCTGCCAAGCCGGGAATCAGATCATTAGACATCAGCATAAAATTGCCCGGTAATTCTACAAAAAAAAGGCTATTACGCATTCTTACGGAGATACATGAGTAGGAAATTGGAGGGAGGGGTGTATTATATTTCAAAATGATGATACAGATAAGGTGCAAACATCAAAAAAAATGTAAAATATAATTAAATGCAGCTTAATTTTTTAGGTATGGATAAAAGGAATGCGAAGATTGTTTAGAGCCTAAAGATCTATCACACGTGACTAATCCTATTTCTTTTGATAGGCTAAGTGCGAACTCTCGCGATAGCGATAAAAAGCGGCGCAAACAGCCTGTCCCACAGCTGGTCCCAGGGTAGAGATGGCGAACCAAGTTGTTGACTATTACCTTACGCTTGGTATGAATACCGAGACTTCGTTTTATAAAGTAAAAAGAGGTATGTTTGCATAGATTAAGCGTGCTTAAATCTCCCAGACTGGGTCATTCGGTTTAGGCTTGATGAAACACTTATTGGAAAGAATGTAAGGTTCTTTACAAACTATCCCGTCAGCGGAAGGAATTTTGTTCGTACGACATACTATGAAATCTCAATCACACTACCAAAGCCCTCATTAAAAAAATTAGACCGTTTTGATGACTACTTTGTTCTGGGACCTATACAAGTCAGTGGCGCTTTTCACTTCGCCTTCACAACTGATGGCTCTACCTTTACTCAAGAGATGAGTGACAGTAAAAAGCTTAAAGTAATTGGTGGAAAGGGCTACTTCGTCGTTGAGAGCCGATTTGCTGTGGGTGACCCCGAGGATCTTGATCGCTTTGCACAATGGGATCTCGAAGGAGTGATGCTACAGACTTATGTCGCCAAAAATCTGGGCCCTTTCTCCGAATGGCGTGACCGCCTTAGAGTTGCTTATGAGTGTGGCTACAACATGGTTCACTTTACTCCTATCCAGGCAAGTTGATGTGTTTCTTTTCCTGCTTGTATTCATACATACGGACTTTTCTGATTTGTCGGGTTTTTTTCTAGGAGTTGGGCATTTCGAATTCAGGATACTCCCTGAAGGACCAGCTTACAGTCAGTTCAACCTTTTCGGACCCTTTAGCCATAAAAAAAGTCGGATGGGAGGATGTTGAAGAGTTGGTAAAGGAGATGGAGACTGAGTGGTCGATTCTAAGTATGTGCGATCTAGTGTTGAACCACACAGCAATTAATTCGCCCTGGCTTCATGAGCATCCAGAGTGTGGCTACAATTTGGAGAACTCGCCTCATCTTGTACCCGCTTTCCTCGTCGATCAAGCCATCTGGAGAACTACTTTGTTCTGTGCCGAGGGCAAACTGGTAAACAAGCATATTCCTCCCGAATTTGGAACTGGTGACACTCATGTAGATGCTTTGCGAAGTTACCTTGTCGACCAATTCAAGGAGCTTAAACTGCACGAGTTCTATCAGGCGGATATTGATCTGGTTTCTGAGGAGTTTAAACGGTGGCTCAGTAAGTGTTCAATTTTGTTTGAATTCGTTATTCGATAGATGGTGATGTTTGGATAATTTATAATCCATTTTCTATCCCGGTTTTTTAAGAATATAAGTGTAGCTTTCAGGGACAGTCATCCTAGAGATTTTAATACAGTTTGACAATTGAAGTGCTTCTACTACTGGCCTAAAAACTGCCTTGGAGATTCTTCCTACAATCTCGGCGGTTTTGTGAAGCTTATTCAATAACTTGAAGTGAATAACATCAGCTAACCTGATTTCTCCTAATTATTTCATAATTTTTAACAGCTTTCAGATAAGTATGGCTTCTATGCAGTAGAGTGACGTGGTGTCAAAGTGTAGGTTCTGTAAACCAAAGGCAATGAATGTTGGATGGCGTGAATTCACATTTTTCGTATTATCTATGAGCTTCAGTTAGTGTCCTAATACAATTGCTTACAAAAAGAATTCCATTTTACCTTTTTAATCGGGGTAGTTTCTTTTTTGGTCTGGTTCCTAGCATTACGAAAGAACATCGGTCGGTCGTCCTAGATGAGCAAAGTAAATGTTCATCAACCAGTTAATCGGGTCTACCAGAGTAATGCTTTACCACTTATGAAGTGAATTCCGCGCCCTGCCCCAAGTGATTGTTCATTTTTCATTTCTTTTGTTAACAAGATTTTCGGGAAACCTGCCACCACAGCCACAATGCTTTATTTTTATGCTGGGGCACTGGTTTTAACGACATTTGTTCAACTGCTACTCGCCAAAAATGTAAACATCTTCATATTAAGAGCACCTTGCATCTATTGTAGTTTCAAACCTAGTATATATATGTATGTACATATTTGCGATATGATTCTGTGCAACCAGTTACCAGAAGTTGACAAAGGCTACGTGACGTTAGATTAGGTAAGGAACTCGAATGCATCGGAGTGTCAAATCATCAATATTTTTAGGCAATGCAAACGGTTACGAGGTTGAAGAAACATTTCAAGAGCGATGTTTACTGCATATTGAATGACTTCTCCATCACTTGACTTGCTATTTCTTGCTCAACAGCTGAGGGCTCCAACACACCACCATATATGGGATCGGATACTTCGCTAACTCTGCGGATAGTAGGAACGCGGGCAGGCCGACGAATGGGTGCGACAGTGGACTTCGCCTTGGCCCGCGAAATCTTCGGCCACGATACACCCGACGTAGCTGCCCATAACCTCGGACTTCGCCTCGCTGACATGAATCGACTTGCCGAGGAGACCATGATACACAATCTCCTGTGTGCTGCTGACTGTGTAGCCGGCGGTGCCCGCTATCGATTTGTGGACCCTAATGGACCCCTCCTTGGTACTGTCTCGGAGTCCGCGCCGTTAGTTGACAGGTAGGCTGGCATCTGGAAGCGTGGGTGGAGGGGGGAAGCAATTCTAGTATACATTCTCTCTATTTTTTTAAGACAAGGATATCATTGTATAGTCTTGAATCCTCACTTCTGTTTGCATTTTCTCTGAAGAGACATGGGTGGAGCCCTCTGATGGCATCTCCTAGGTCGAAATGTGCGGTGGTGGTTCCTCCTAGGGAAGGTACTTATTTTTGAAACTTTTTGATCACCTCCAAAGGAGTTGAAGTGAATGCTGAACAATGAAAATAGGTTCCATAAATGAATGGAAATGAGTGTGCGCATACGGTGAATGGCTGTTTCGGGGAATCAAATTGGAATCTAGTTGCTCATGGCGATCCGAGTTGAATATGAAGCTTAATCTTCCTGTTTAACTCGTTTCTTCTTAAGGAGCTAGTAATTTCCTGCACTCTTTGACCAATATTTTTAAAACAGAAAACTACATGGATCAAACATTACCAAATGGAGAGGTATCCCATAGTGATGAAAAATGAGGTAAGCAGTGAAGAACTGACAACCTCGCTGTTCCCATCAGGTACTTCCTCTGCCCTGAGGACCACATGCGAACCGCCGAGGAGGCGGAACAGCTTGCAACAGGCGACCGTGCGAAGTACGTAATGGGGTGCAACGGTTGGATCATCAACAGCTGCAGCATCGAGAACTTTGCCGAGGTCGACTCCAATGTCTATCTGCGGCGCGAACTCGTGATCTGGGGTGACTCTGTTAAACTACGGTAAGTTGGAAGCAGCGATTGCTAAGTTCGTGCTACAGGAGAGTTTTTCCGGTTGGTTGTATTGAGCTGAGTATTTTACAAAACCTACTAAAGTGACCATTTAGAATGCATCGTAATTGTAGCTATTTCATCCTTTAAAGATCTTCCTACATTTACTTAACTGACTTAGTGCTTTTTTAAAGTGAAATAATTTGCTCAAACGTGCATTCATCAGTAAACGATAAATTTAGCACTAATCTGGCAATTAAGTAGACATAGTTTAATGCGTTTTCAATTTCGCTTCCTACAACAGTTCTGGCTAGTTTTTGTTTTGGTCGTATTGATGAATACGTGGTAAAGTTACTATAACCATTACTATTAATTTTGAGCTCCGCCTTTTAGAAAAATGCTAGCTACTTAGGAAGAGAGGAGAGATATTTTCTTTTTCAAATCTGAAAACATGCAAAGGCTCTTCTCAGTGTTGTAATTATGGTTAAAACTTATTTTGTATTGGTATTCCAAAAGGAAATTCGGGTTGTTCACAACTTTTTAAAAGCAAAATTACTTTCTGTAGCATTTATTCACACTACATTACGTAAATTTTAAGCCAATACCGTTTTCAAAAACTCAAAATTCAGAAAACCTTTTTTAAAGTCGCGCGTAGATTGTATACTTTTTTGCGCTATCAACTTAGCACTGGTACATGGAAATTCGTTATGAAACGAAAAATGGGAACGATTGATATCGTTTAGGCAATGGAGACCATCGTACTCCTTCGATATCCTCAGTATACCTTAACACAACGGCTTAATGAGCGCGGGCACCAGTTTTTGCAGATTTCAAAAGGTGATTTGGTTATCAATCTGGAGCACACTTTCTTGAACTTCACACTGACGTACAAAAGTGCGTGAAAGTATATTGTAGAACTTTTCAGTGTTTGTGTATTATACTACATCCAGGTAATGTGTGCGTGTGCAACAGGATGATTATGTTTTCTGCCGCTTAAGTTCCTAGCTTTTGATCCGAATTTTGAGATTTTACCTTTTCTATTGCCTCTTGGTTTTTATTTATTGGCGGACCTGGAAATTATGTGATTCCGAACAAGCTCTCGTATCGTACGCAGTTTTTGCCGCACTTGAAATGGCAAAGTTTCAACCAGATTTAGACTTGCGGTCTCTTATTTCCTACGGTCTTGTGGAGCCACGTTTCCTTTCTGCTCAGCACTAGTTCTCAAAGTGTAAGGAACTCAATTCTTTAGATACCATTGCCTAAAGCTTCTCTAATGCGTTGAGACTAGACTTCTGTATGGATAGGAATACTTTTTAAAGTTAAATAATCCACTTCTTTAGCGGTCTTTCCATTTGTGATAATTTCTTTAAAAATGCAAAAGAATAATTCCCCAAGATGACCTCTACCTAACTAATCCTGCCTTTTTCAAGTGTACCAATTTTACCTATCCTCAAGCGTGGGTTTATAATCAATGAATATCATTAAAGGTAAAAATACGATGAAGTAGCATTAATGTAACATTATCAAGATAAACAGATGCACACTTCGGCTCTTCTTGAAAACAGTCCTGAGACTTTATCAAGCTCTTATTCAGATCAAATCTAGCTTGGGTCTACCGGCTCTCCATGGCGGAAAAGAATTTTGTGTGGGTTTTGTGACAAAATGAGGAAAGCGACTTTTCTGACTTTAAGGCGACTTAAGCCTGGAATCAGCTCCATCTCATCTGGAAATCAACGAATGGTGCATCCCAATAAATTCTAAACTAAGTCCATTCAATCATTGATAGGTCTAGTGTCTACATGAATTTGAATCACTGGTATGCTAAAGTATACAATCCTCACCGCCTTTTTCATATACTTACTGCTCAAAGCGAGCCTTGCTTTGTAAATATTAAAATAGTTTTGCTGAACTGTGATGGTGTAGTTGTCTGGCTTCTCGACTTGGATATTTTTTTGTTTCTTCAGATACGGTGATAAGCCTGAGGACTGCCCCTATCTGTGGAACCACATGTTGGAGTATGCTCGTATGACAGCGCGAGTCTTCCACGGTGTGCGACTGGATAACTGCCACAGCACACCCCTTCACGTGGCACAGGCTATTCTCGACGCCTGCCGGGAGGTGCGACCCAGCATCTACGTCATTGGCGAGGTCTTTACTAATGACGAAAAGACTGACAACCTCATTCTCAACAACTTGGGCATTTGCTCCCTTATCCGCGGTGAGTTGAATCTCATGAGAATGGAAAATACTGATTATTTTGTGACTTTTGTAGCAAAGATGGGGTGTTTTGTGAAAGTAGGTCTATAATTATTTAGGCTTTTATTTGGAATTTGTCTAAGTCCTGCTGAAACATAAGTTGGAATAGCTTCTTTACTGATAGGGCTGTCAGTTATTCGGATTTAGTTTATTTTATTTGAATATCACAGGGTGGTTTGATTGTTTGAAACATATCTGGATCATTTGTCTTTTTGAGATTGTGGATTTCACTTATTAAAATTTGACCTGACTTATTTGCCATCAAATACATCGTCCATTGGTGTGTTTAGGGTACAGGAGAGATTTAAACCGACCACCCTTTTACCAGATTACCCCACTTTAGCTCCAATTTTGCGTGGATATTGGGGAGCGGCCGATGTGTCCCAGGGTTAAAAAATCTCTTAGACGCTTAGTGGAAGTCAGCCTGAATCAGCTTCATCCTTTGGGAAATTTTCCACTGCTAAATCGAGTCTTTCACTTATAGATATACATTCTTTATTTAAAAAAGGAATTTTTGGGCAGATCTATCGGAAGAGCAGTGCTTTTATTCGTTTACTAAAAATATCATTGAAATACTTTTTATGGCGCTGATAAATCTGGATGTATTGGTTCATCATTCATGTGGATTTGAACGGGTCGTTTGGTGTGTGGGTTTTCTTAAAAAGGAGAGGTTATTTCGACTTTTACTTGGAATGACTAAAAAATATTTCTTGGTCAATCTTTCCTTCTTCTGATGGACTGGCACAGGTCGGTTTCTTTGAAGGTCTCAAAGCGCTTGATACAACTTTGATCTCCCCGAGCTAATGCCAGACAATAATGGACATTACCGTTCTTTCTTCTACCAACTTCGTTTGTCTTTTCCTTTTAGAAATAACAGAGGGTCACTTTTTAATGACCTAGTTCTAGTGGGCCTGCTTAGCGCTCCCATTGGACTCGAGGAAGATTGGGTTAGATAAGTCTAGGCTAACGTGATTTTTTTCATCCCTACAGAAGCCCTCTCTGCTCACGATTGCCACGACGAAGGTCGACTGGTGCACTACTTTGGGGGTCACCATCCTGCCGGCGGTTTTCCCCACGCTGTACTAAAGCGTCGTCTCCTGCCTACGGTGGCCCATGCCCTCTTCTACGATCAGACGCATGATAACCCCGCTCCCGCTGTCAAGCGCACGATCTTCGATCACCTCCCCTCTTCCGCGCTAGTCGCCATGGCGGCCTGTTCCTCTGCCTCCACACGTGGCTACGATGAGTTGGTGCCTTATCAGATCGATGTTGTCTCGGAGAAGAGATTCTATGCAAGATGGGACAAGGATATAAACGCCTCCACTGGCATGATTCGGGCCAAGGCGGCGCTCAATCGTCTGCATCGGTGGATGGCTGCTAACAACTTCAATGAGACCTTCGTGGATCAAGTGAGATTGACAAATATACGAGATTATATTATCATTTGCATTACGGAATTCTGACAAATTCAAGTCGGCAAATTGAACGACTAGTAAATCCTTTGAAATGAAAAATCCACGAGGAAATGAAATACAGATTAGAAAATTTAGATCCTTTAAGGAAAGGCGACACCTGAATTACAAAATCTCAGCACATTCATTGTCTTTTCCGTTAATGAAATGTGTAATTTGTGGGATATTTTAAACCAAAAAAAATCAGAGGGAGGGAGGTAGTAGAGATCATCGCTATTGAAATTCACGAAGTTTGATAGTTTTATCTTATTATCACAAGCGGTCTCAACCGTTTCTCCCTATCCCAATACAAACATTTGCCCCGCATTTGTTTGCGTGTGCTTACGTTTATAATAATATTGTCTGCCAAAACGACATTGATCCGTTTTGTCAATTTCTACGCCCATTTTCCCCCATTCTTCAGGTGGATACGAATGTGATCGCCGTGACACGTTTCTCAGCCGATACCGCGGAGTCTATTGTCATGGTATCACACTCATGCTTCTACGATCGCAGTCCACATCCGGCACATCATCCTTTCCGTAAAATAATGCTCAACGGTCGGGTTCGACGCATCCTCATTGAAGCCCGCACTAAGAATCACTCTTTGGGCAATCCTATGGATGATTTCAAGTGGAACGAGTGTGTAGGTCGAGATTTAAGTTATGGCATAAAACCTGATTGTGACTTGGTAATTAAGGCTTTCAGTTCCCATTTATCTTCCCAAAAGCATTATTCTTGTTTATAATGTCCTCAAATTTTTTGGCGAAAATGATTTTACCCACCGTATTCAAAGGACAAAGCAATGTTATCGACTAGGGTATGAACTTTTCTAGTTTATTAATGCCATTGTTCCATTATTAATAGGTTTTCGATGTTTTATTCAGAAATCTGGGTAAGATCAACTTGGAGACTCGGTAGTAATTGATTCAAAACATTCTTGCGCCCTTTTTTAAAGTTTAAACTCACAGGACTACATGCCGCACAGGCAGATTCAGTAGTTTTGAGGTAGCATCTATCAAAACGACTTTTATAGATCTTTCATCATTAGTTTACGATAAATATTTATCACTATGGTAAATATACACGTCGTCGAAACGCAGACGGTTGTTTTGAATACTATCTTTTTGTTTGCTTTGCAGTGGAAATTTATCTGTTTAATTTCCGCGTCTGTTAACTTGAATTATTTCTTTTAAAAGAAGTAGCTATCGAATTCTGCTTAATATACCTAAAAAACTGATACTTTTTGGTACTTAAGTTGTGGTTCCTGGGTCTCCTGTCAAATCAATTTGTTCGGGTGCATAAAAGTACAAAATCTGCATGCCCAATGTGCCACTCTTCGAGCATGTTGATTGGCTTCACTCCACCGCCCGATATCATTTCCCAACCCTCCAACCTTGGTTCACTTGCACTTTTACGCATCATAGTAGCCTATACAAAGTGCGCGTATTAGCCTTTTCCTTTGTACTGGGGTTTTACCTCGTAATTTTGTTGCGAGTTTGTAACATTGGAATTCAACTAATAGTTATTCCTCTTTTCAACGTTCATAATTTGTAACTCTGTCTTTACTGATAAGAATATTTCTTTGAGAATCGATCACTTTGTGGATAGTCGTACCTTATTGGTGCACAAGAAGATTTGAAAATTAAGGCGGACTTTAGTTTTATTGGTTCTACAGCTACAAAAATTATCGTTTCCATTCGTTTTTGCATACTCAGTTTAAACTAAACGATTATGTTTGAATTTAGCTTAAACTGGCCCGGTACCTGATGTGCATTGCTATTTCGGAAGAGCTTGAAGGAGTAGGCTTACTTTCTTCTTATCTAAGTCTTCGTGTTTGTCAAAATTATTCCTTTATGATTAAAATAAGTCTTTTTTTTTGCCCTGTAGTACATCAATGGACTAACCAACATCTCCGTTGAGGTGAAGGAGGATATGGAGGTGTCAAAGAGCAAGATGTTCAAGGTGGTTCATGTAGAAGAGAATGGTGGGACGGATGCTCTGGAATTCTACGACTTTCCACCCGGTTGCATCGTCGCTGTGAGCGTCTGTCTCAACGATGTTCAATCCGAAGCTTTAAGTCGTGTTCGTGGAACTCTCCTGCATCAGGTTTGTCACTGCCTTTTTTAGACATCGTGTGCTCAAAAGATTGATATATTTTGCTTCAGATGACTTTATGTAAACAAAATTCGTTATTATTGCACAAACCATCGTGAATTTTATGCACTTTATCGTTTTACTTAATAGGTCTTGGGATTTCCTTTTGCCAATTTGCGAAATCCGATGATCACCCGGATTCCAAGTCACTTTGCTCTTCCCTGATTTGAAATTTTAGTTGTGCGGTATTGATTCTATTAAAATTAGCTAGTTTCCTTTTTGCTCCCTCGTATTTTATGGAAACTGAAGTCGTTGATTTCCACACATTTGAATCTTCACATTGCTCAACTCACACTATTCCTGAAGGACTTTTAGCGCAGCATTTCATTGATATTACATGATCACAAATGCAAGCAAGTTTTGAGGTTACCGGACCATTTAGCGATTTACCTACTGCCTAATTGGAAATCACGTTGTACTGTTTAGCTGATAAGTCACTTCTTCCGCGGCTGCTTTTCGTTTAGCCCATCATTACCATCCACACTAGTCTCACCCCAGATTTCCCATGAGAATTGTTTTCAAGTAAACGATTACTGGTGCTAAAAATTTGAAAACTGTGTTTATTTTTTAAGCTATTGGCACCAATATTCTGGTTTAAAAACCGAACTACACAAACAAAAAAACCTGCGATATCGGTTATTAAAAAATTGAGCATTTATACTTACAAGTGCTACACTTAGAAATTGAGAAGTTTAAGCTAGATTGCATGTCTGTCCAAAAGAGAGGATTTGTCTTCACGTTATAAAGGCTATGAGAATTTTCAGGTGAAATATTAACAGCACAATTCATACTTACCCATTAGCGACTCGCGTTGTCAGTCTATCCAGCTCCTATATCATGTTAGCGTATTTTGGAATATCACTAATATTGGATTAGCAATACCTTTACTTACTGCATATTTTACATTACATATTGGCATTTGACTTTCAAAAGGCAAAATAACTAGACATGAACTCGATCTCGATTACTCTCAGCTTCTTAGTTTGTAGAAAAGTGTAGATTCTCCATATGACACTCATGGCCTGGTATTTTCACGGTCTTTTCAAACTGCTCAAAGTTTATTTAGTCTCATTACTAGGCTTCACGTAAAACTTTAGAGTAGTCACTAAAAGCCGGTGTGGTATCAATAAGCACTTACATTTATGAGTCTTCGCAGGTTCAGGCGTCCACAACGGCTAAATTTCCTCTATGACGTGTTGGGGCGGCATTCAGTCCGGGAGACTAGGATTTTCGTTCATCCAGAGCGGGCTTTTTGGCCACGCGCCGGAGACCATAAATTGCTCGTAGAGCTCTACCTGATTCAGCAAAAAATATAAATTTATTTAAGTACTTTTCTTCGTCGACCATTGATGGAATAGTAGCTGCAGATCTTTTAGCTTCCGCAGTCGGTGTTAGTCATAAATTGTATTATACTCATCTTATCTAAGAACTTTCATTTGGTTAATTTTCAACAGTAAATTATTTGTTGCAAAACCTTATACTCAAACTATCGATCGTTCACTAGCTTTGCACTTGCGAACTAGGCACTTTGTTTGTTACTGTTTCTGCCTTCTTCCGTTCTACCAACCGAAATGTCCGTACTCTTAACAGAAGTTCAACATCTTCGATTCTGCTATTCATATGTATACTTCTCCCAGTTCGGCCGGCGATTGCGCACCCTGGATGCACGCAAGGTCTCTCTCCCCGCAAACACCGTTGCTATCGCCGATGCACTACTTCCTCTCTACCCCGACTCTGTGGAGCACGGTCTGATCAAACGTCTGATTAACGATCTCTCCCTTACCGACATTAACTGGCTCCTCTACCGTTGTGAGCGCGAGGAAAATGTGCCAGGGCTTCACCGTACTCCTTACTACGTTCCACGTTACGGTGACCTGGTGTTCTGTGGTCTGCAGGGCATTGTTTCGGTGATGCGCAACGTGGCGCAGCATAACGATCTGGGTCACCCAGTGTGCCATCATCTGCGCGAGGGTCTGTGGCTCCTGGACTACCTCTATCAGCGAATCAGTGCGCAGGACCCTTCGCGACCCTCAAAACAATTGGATGCTTTGTCGAGGGCGCTGAAGCAACTCTTTCAGCCTATCTATGATCTGCCGAAATACCTGATACCGGCAAACTTTGGCATGCTGGTTGGGTGTCTCTATCAGACTGTCATGGAGGAGGTAGGCCAACGGAATACGCAGGACACTTTGAAAACCTTGAAAGACCCTAAGTTGAAATATATCAGCCACAAGGTTTTAATGTAGTATAAGGTCTGGCTGACGAAAATAGACGCTTATTAAATAATTAATTGGTTAGAATATGGTCTTCGATAAAACCCATTCGATTATTGTATTGTTTTAATATAAAGTCAGATACTTCTATTTTGCTTTCCTTGTCCATTTCAATGCATTTTTCTTTAATTGGATGTGCCACGGATGTGTGACATGAGAATCTCGATAAGGAAATCCAGGGTGTTGCATATATTTGACGCCAGTAGCGAACGAAGGCATGTCGATGGTGCTTCATTTATCAAACATGTTCATGCAGTTATAGTATTTTTTAACTTACATGAACATGATGTCCCTAATGTAAGGCTGAATTTTTGCTTAGAAACTGTAAACATTTCCCACACCCGCTTAAATGCATCTTCGCTATCTTTTCTTGTTCCCCCAACATGCAATTTTTTGCTTTTGGGAGATGCCTACAGCCTCGAAATTCATTTGCTGTGATATTAGTTCCCTATAAACGAGTGGTAGTGTACATTTTTTTTCGGAATTATTTCATATTTGCCTGATAGTTTTAACGGGTAACAGATTCTGCGTTAAGAGGAGATACCAGACTAAGATGGTGATCCATTATGACGCTTTAAATTCACGTAACCTTGTAATCACTCGCATAATCTTGAACTCTGGCGTGAAAGCATAAATGTCCTTGCCATTCGAAAAGAAGAAGTATTGGGCAAACATGGTGCATTAAATAATGACAACTTTTTTAGGAAAGTTCCCCTGTCGGTTGGGTATTATTTTTTGGTATTCCTTGCGACGTTTTTGTGGAAATGATTTGAAAACTAAGTCAAATATTAACAAGTGTTGGCAAGTGCACCTTAGGTTCTAATGCATGACGATGATGGGATTAATTTAAGGTTTCCGAGTTTTACAGAAAAGCATTATCACTTAAAACGGTTTAAATAGCCTTTACTTTGGAAGGCCCCTCAGCTGCCGGTATTTTTATGGACTCACATGTCTTAATAAATGGATGTGATTAAAAACTTAAATTCAAACTCGTTTTTCATCCTTCATTCGTACTATGATTTTCACTTTCATATTTGTCAACCAAACACTGTGTTTGCTGATGGTCTAAACTGTTTTCTGCACTGCTTTGGTTCCACGGAGAACATCATATTTGAAAATGTTGGGATCTTGACTAGCTAAAATGGAGAAGTGAATGGCGCCGGAACGCACATTTGAAATCATTATTTTTCTTCAAAAGGCCAATTGAGTCTTCTTGCTCAAGGAAACTCGATTAGGGAACTTGGAGATTAACTTCGTGCTTGTCTATCAATAGTGCTTGTTGTGAAGGTGTTACCTACTGTATCAACAAGTGAAAATCGTAACAATTCCCTGGAATACCCTTCTTTTCACATTTCTAACGTCCGTACCCTAATACTCCATATCTTTTCCAAACAAGCACTGCGTTGTCTATTGTCTGCTTTGTAGCGGGTTCATGGTAAAATTCATTTGAATATACTGCGCTTTTATACTGACTTAAAATGCCTCTTCGAGAGGTACTGAAAGATGTACTGATAATCCGGGTATTTCTCTGAAGAGTAAAATCCAATATGCTACAAATGTTGACAACAGCCAAACCTAACACTTGAAGGGAGGTAATGAAATGTAGAATTCGGTGGGTACGTTTTAATTTTGCCCATTAGTAATGGTCATTATTGGTGTCTCACCTTGCGTTGAAGACTGGGAAAATCGCAATTTTACTGATCAGTAACCTTTTTCCTTACCTTCACAGATAGCCATGCGCCTGGGCAAGTGGACAGAGCTGGGTTCTTCAACAGTACGTAACCTGGTGACTGCTAGCCTTCAGCTATATGGTAAGGCACCGAACGTGCGTCTGCCACCAGTGCTGCCAGCGCCTTCGTTGAGTGGACGTGATGATGACCCTGACCGCTACATTTCTAGCCTAGCTGCGGGTCTGCCTCACTTCGCCGAGGGCATGTGGCGTAACTGGGGTCGGGACACATTCATTGCTCTGCGCGGGTGTCTCATTCTCACTGATCGATTCGAGGCGCGTTGTTTCTTACATCTTTATTAAATCCCTATAAGTAGAAAAAAAATATTAGCGTTCTAAGGGATAGTAACACTTATTTCCTCAACTGTTTCTATTATCGCCATCTACCTCAATTTTTTTCACCAATCGCTTTGAGACTTGTCCATTTCCTAGAAGTTCTAGTCATTGGTTAAATCAATACCCAGTATCATTGTTTTGAGGAATATGTTGGCATATCTTCATTATTATTAAACACCTTTTCTCAGAGTTCTGCTGTTTTGAAGCCTCGAGGACGGTATAAAACTGAACTCCTTACCAGTCAAAATTCCAGACGGGCTGATTTTAGGGACTTTTTGTCAAGATCCAACTCAGTACTTATTCGAAGCGACGTTGATGCGATCTCTGGTTGAATGTTATCTTAACCGACTTGTCTACAGATGGATTTTAACATTTGCCTATTCTTAAGCTAATCCCCTTAGCTGGCAGCCATATCGTGTTTTAGTGTGCCCTATTTTCATGAAGCTGTGACAAGTAATACTGAGCAGCGCTGAATTGTCCAATTCCAGTCTCACATCGAAGCGCAAGTCTCAAATGGCACGGTCACTTCATGAAGCCGTGGTGGATAACGGTAGTACATTTTTGAAACACAAAACATGTGAAAGAATTATTTCCACCACCAATAGAATATAGTCAAATCTTGGAACCTTTGCTAATTTTAGCACTAGAATAATTGAAACATTCCTTACCTCTGTCTACAGCAAGTGCAGTTCTTACACCAGACGTTCCTCTTGGAGAAGTTGCCTAAAAGCAGAACTACTTAGTAGCACAGATTGAATTTATAGTTTAGCTTTAAAAAGCTGTGCTTTTCATTTATTCCCTACACTCACCACCAAGAGCTGCCGAGTCTTACAAAATGTGAACATGAGACATTTTTTTCTCCTCATACTTTGGAGGCGGTTCCAATTTTGTGCCATTCAAATCTGGCCTTGTTCCATCACTGGACATCTTGCAAAACTCGAGATTGCGAAAGTGACCGAAATTCATGAATTGTTGGAGTCATTCAAAGCAGACATTTTCCCTCGGCTTTTAGCCGTAATGTCCAGGTCGCATGTAGGTGCGGGTTTGTCAACGCTGTCATCAATGTAGAGTCCAGATTATCCATAAGTACTGTTAAAATGGATGTGACATAAGCATGAATATTGAATTTTGGATGATAGAGGGTTGTGTGGTCATAGTCACTGTTCAACTAAAAATGTTCGGCTTCCATTCACAGAAGCAAGGTGTTGTAGTTCGTGCTACTGTTTCATCACAACTTTGTCACGACTAGCACAGCATTTAAAACAGTGAATTGAATAGATCAATGGATTGGCGACTTACACAATGCGAAAGTTAGTTTCCTTTTCTTTGTAAAAGGTGCAAATCAAAATTTTATGATTTACTGCACACTCAATGGCTTCATCAAAAGTGATAACCTAGCAATTAGAATTTCTTCGTTCATGCTCATTAAATCATCTTTTTCATCACAGGAAGCAGCTAACGCAATCCTTCAATTCGCTTCTCTCTTACGCCACGGTCTCATCCCCAACCTCATGGGTGATGGACAGTGCGTCCCACCACGCTACAATGCGCGCGACGCCGTCTGGTTCTGGCTCTACTCTATTTGTTGCTTCGAGGACGGAGTGGCAGCTAGCGAAGGCCTAGCACCCGGCTGTGGCGGTGCGAAGAAATCCATACTTTCGCGCCCCGTTTTCCGCTGGTTCATCTCTGACACCACTCCAGGCTGGCCAGATGAGCGCGATTCGGTGAATATGGCCAATCCACCAGCCGACCGTGTAATGCCGTTGTATGATGTTATGCAGGAGGCACTGCAACGTCATGTCACGGGAATTGAGTTTAGAGAGAGGACTGCTGGATTTGCGCTTGACTGTCAGATGGTCACTGAGGGATTCAACGTAAGATGCGTGACATTTGATTTACGATTTTTTTTCCGGCATTATTTAACTGGACTTCTAAAATGGCCAAATTTATTCACTATGTTTCCTTTCTTCATGTCTCTTACAGCTTTTGCAGTAGTAGACGTCAACATTTCCTTGATATTGTGGACGTGCTTGTTGATGAAAGGAATTAGATTTAGAGGGACTGGGGGGGGGGGGGGATGTTGAATGATGGGATTATCCATTTGGCCTTCATCGATAGCAAGGCTATATGGATTTTCTTTTCTCACAAAACTCTGTTGCTATTTGGTGTTTCGAAACTATGTAAAGTTGTGAGTCTTACGGGAAAAGGGTAGAAAAGACGGAATAGCTTACAAAAATACCTAAAGCTGGCCGGTCTGTTGTGCAAAGCAGCGCAAAAGAACCACATTTAGACTCCTATTTTTTGTATCCTGTAGAATTGATAGTTACTCATGTTACTTCAGCCTTGAATTCTTATCCTTAACATTATTTATAATTTGCATAAAGGGTTTAAAGTTCAAGGGAAGATCTGATGGTTTAGTAAATATCTATAGAAGTGTGTGTTTATTGATCTAAAGTACTAATTCGCTTTAGTATTTGAAATGTGACGCTAAGTGAAATTTTGATGTCGTTAGACAAATTTGTCAGGTGTAGTTTAGCAGTTTGAAGCCATTTTGCTAGCTTATAATTAATGCCTTTTCTGTTTGAATTTTTACCATTCTTCATGTTCACACTGCAGGCTTCCTGATAGCAAGTTTGTTAATCCATTTCATCTGAGTTCTGAGACGCGATGACCATGCCAATTTGCCGCATATCATAATTTTTAAACAAAGTATGCTTCCAAGCCACTGGTCTCTACAACCTGCAACGTTCGTCTGTGATTAAGAGATGGTAGGGATCTTTAAATTTTCTCATTTGTTCCCATTTGAAAAGATGATTTTTGCAGTTTCCCCCCTACTTTGACAAGTCTCAATGATAAATGAATCCCGACACCTCGTCATTGATTTTGCATTGCGCTTGGACGTCATTTTCACCTTGTGACCCAAGATGACCTTATGTCAAGCTCGGGAGCATTGATTTCTTTCACGTGATTCACATGGACTTTGTGTGTACATTCCGTGCTAAATTCAGGCAGGACTGTTGCCACAGCAGGTTTTGAAAACGATTTATAAAAAGACGTTTATTTTAATTTATTGGCGGGAAATAGTTACCATAGCTTGAACGCATTTTGAATCGTTGTGGCCACCTTTTCTTAGATAACTTCGTAGACCTCAGGTGTAAGTTGACTTATCGGGAAAATTCATACCAATAAAACCAATTAAAAACCATTTCTAAACTTTTACATTGCACACTGTAACTCCAACAGTCGTCATGTCGAAACTCCTAACATCTAAAATAACTGTTAGATTTTGGTATTATTTTTGGCTTAGTTTTCTGCTTTTTACCATATCGTTTATTCTGGTGAAATCCTGTGAAACTACACGGAACAAGTACATATTAGCACAACCGTTGAAATAAGTGATGGGCGGTTTCTTTATATTTTAGCATTTTAGCATTTGAAATGGGGGTCTTTATTTTGTGATACCGGGGATGGATAAATGAAGTCCTCGGGTCTGATGCGTGTATTATTAGCATCGTCATCAGTTGAGGGCCAAGCAGATGCGCATTTTTTTCTTTTTTAGCTTCTACTGTGTGTCCTTCTCTTTGGTTACATTGCTCATTTATTTTTTTCTTTAATTGCTTACGCCACTTTTTTCCCAAAAGCTGATACCCCAGTATCTATAAGTTTGATTTGAGCAAACATTTTGCGGATTTCATCGAAGAAAAAGTTAATTCAAGCATTATTAATTGCGCTTTTACTGCACTTTTGAGATAAGATTTATACAATAATGCATTGCACATTTAAAATCTTTGTCATCACCACAAAGGTCGATGACAAATAACAGCTTCAATTACGTAAATGAAGCTAAATAATATGGTAGTCTTAATTCACTTTGTCCATTGAAGTAAGATAAGGTATACCACCGTATTACATATTAGAAGCCCTTTTTGTTAACGAATCAATCTTACTCCCATGCATTCATGGCCTTCTTTTCCCCAGGTAAAAGCCTACATCCAAGAGGATACTGGCTTTGTATGCGGCGGTAACCGTCACAACTGTGGTACGTGGATGGACAAGATGGGAAGCTCCGATAAGGCCGGCAACCGAGGCAAGCCGGCAACACCGCGTGATGGTTGCGCGGTTGAGTTGACGGGGCTGGCCTACGCGGTGCTCAAGTGGTTGGAGCGGGCACACAGCATGGGTGGCAGCACTTACTACCCGCACGATGGTGTCGACGCTCCACCGCACGCCACCACTGCTACGCCACGATGGAGCTGGGCCGACTGGGCTGCCAAGATTAAAAACAACTTTGAGACCCGGTTCTGGCTGCCTGAGAGGAACAAGGAGGGGGACACCTGTGGGCAGATCGATATTCACCAAGGTTACTACCGTGATATCTGTGATTGCTCAAATCCCAATGCAGAGCTACAGCTGAGACCGAATTTCCTAGTGGCCATGACTGTGGTACGTGATTAGCGTTTCTTTCTTATATAATAAAACACATTCTAATACTATTTCGACAATTCCAGCTGGTAGCCCATGGTTGCTTAAATTTCCTAATTGAACTTTGCTAACATGAGTTAGTAATTACTTGTCTCATGTCCGAAACTATTGTTTTATTGAACAGTAGTAGTCGGTAAGTACCTTGAAGAGGTGTGATTCTCTGCTTTGAAAGATTGAAACTTCTCATTAAAATATTTGGATCCCACTAGCACATTCGTTTTTTACTTAGCACCATCAAGATTGATTGCTCATGGGATCACCTGTCTTCAAATTGGTATATCAACATTTTTTGCCCTTGACACATACATCCTTCCGTCATCGCAAAAAATCAAGATAGTAAACTCTCAGCTCATTGTTTATCAATGTGAACGGCTGAAAAGTCTCTGGTGGACTTAATCTAAAGGCCACCCTCGGAGGGATGGTGGCTTTTAAGCTTCTTTAAATCAGCTATTTTTAACCGATCCTGAGTTGATATTGCAGCACTACATTGCATTTAATTAAGTTCTGATAAGTAAGTAGTTGACATTTTGAAAACCTGCAGAGCGGAAGCGATTTTTGGATTTTACGTGTACTTGAGGGATTCCCTAAACGCGTATGTGCTCCCTCTTGCGGCTTTGTCTCACTGTGCAGGCGCCAGATATATTCGACGTGCGAAACGCTTGGAAGGCTTTGGAAATAACGAAGAAGCAGCTGTTGGGTCCCCTGGGTATGAAGACGCTGGATCCGCGCGACAAAGATTACCGCTGCACCTACAACAACAGTGATGACAGCTACGACTACTCTATTGCGCATGGATTCAACTATCATCAAGTGAGTGGAAATAAAAACAGAATTTGGTAGATTATTTTTAAATTTTGCTCAAAATCTACCCGTAATTGCTGCTTTCTTTACTTGTTGTAGAGTGACCCTTATAATGGTAATTTTAGAGATGTTTCTTTTGTAATTGATAGGTGGTTTGATGCTCGACCTTTTTTGATTTTTGCACTGAAATTTGATGCTGATCATTGTAAAATGATAATTTGGTTTGTAATTTGGAAGACAATACTGGAAAGTGGTTCGTGAATTGGAGCCTAGAATTTAAGTTATTCTTCCTCAAAATGCGACCTAAAATGAATGTTTGGAGGCCGGTTTTTCAATAATTGTGGAGTGAATATCGAGATAACTCAATGATGGATGGGAAATATTCTAATATTTTGCGTGAATATTGAAATGAAACTTAGTCGCTTCCTTTCGTATTAAGGTGAGTTTGAATTTTGACTTCTCTTTTATTAACTGAATTTGGTTTTAAATAGAACTGAGAAATAGGTGGTTCTGAGGATTAAATACAGTTAATAGGTGAATTTGAATCGTATCTGTTCTGAAATTTTTGGCAGTTTGATTCGTCAACGTTGTATAGAGATCGGTCATGTTGAAGTCACCTTGAGTCCTAATTTGGTAAATCTACGGAAAATGGCACGCCAGCATATTGTCGTCCAAAATTGCAACGAATCGATGTTTTTAAGGGCCCTTCATGAACAAATTTGTTCACAGTAGTGCTAAAATTACTTTTAGCTTTCATAAAATTACGGATCAAGTCGGGAAATTTCTCTCCTAGGGCGTAGAACTTGTGAAATTTCATTTGCTAATCAGTTCAGATGGCATATCATCGATGCAAAATGCAGTAAATTTCGTCGTTTTCTAATGCACTCTGTTACAGGTGCTTCCGAATTTCCTATGAAAGTTAGCTACAATTTTTCAGAATTTTGAAGATTGATTCCGATGACGGCGTGAAAACTGACGATAGCTTTGGTGGGCAACAAATTTAGAGATAATAGTATTTGCTTCAGATGGAAACAGAATACTTTACAGAAAGGGTTCGGAGGTAGGCTTTTGTAGGTGGACAGTTTTGAAGGCTTCTTAAGACGTGCTATTATGGAAATATCGCTCTTAATAAAACTGTTTAGGCGTTGCAATGTCTATGTTGATACAATTTCCTTTTTTTCAATTGTTTCAATGCAGCCTAATGTGGTACCCCGCCTCTCCTTCTTTAACTTGAGCAATCGTTATGCGCCTTCTCAGTCATAAATGATTTTAATTACCACGTTTTCATCTTACAGCTTAGTTTATCTTAACTAAACTGGAGAGCGTTTTGAAAGTGATATTTTAAGATGGATTCATTTTTTCCCCCAAAATACAATAATCTATTTTTGACGGAAGGATCCTCGCAATTGTATTCGTTTGAAGGTTTTACTTATTATTCATAACAAGGATTACAATTGAATGTTAAATCTTGAGGTCAATAAACAGATCATCTAAGCATCACTGTTCACTTTTCACCCTCGGATGAACTTTCGTGCCATTGCATGGATAACCTGATACGCCAGCTAATGCCATGTGATTTCTAATAAGTTCTACGGACCTACTTTGGTAGCCTGGCAAAACGGCTTTTTGAATCCCGTAACCTTAACGCTGAAAAACCATAGTAGTATATTTTTAATCATGCATAGATTTTTCATATTTCTAATCACCGCTAAGGATGTGCTGTGCACAAACTTCATCATCGTTTACATCTGGAAGTCGTTTGCAGGTCACTTGTAATATTTATCACGTTTATGATCATCTAAGTGTTTATCTAAGTGGGAAATTATGTAACAAATGTAGGTACTTATATACCCTTCCAAGTCCTTAATATACGTCTTTGTAACAAATTATGAAGGGTATTTTAAGCATACTTTATCATCTATAACTACGATAGACTGGTTTGAAATGTGTATAGCTCGCATAGGCTAATTTGTAGTGTCAAAGTACGTATGAGTGTTTGCGAGAATCCTCGGGCTGCTTAAAGGATTGTGGGCAAATAGTTAACGTGGGATTTTCAATTAGATATTCTTAAAATAGGAGAAATTATCGACGCACTTATTGTCATTTTCAGTTCTAAAATTAACACCAGGCAATTGAAATGTTTCACCACTGTTTGACTCGTATCGTGAGGATACTGGTTTTGTCAAGTTTCAATGTTTTTCTGCTTATCGATATCGCTACCTAGACATTAAAAAGTAATTCCTTTAAACAGCCGTAGCATTGGAGCACTGGTTAAAAGGTATTGTTAAACGGAAATGGTGTCCCAAAAAATTTTCTTAACTGTACTTACCCTTTAAATCTCTTTTAACCAGGCCACCTTGAAGCAAAGAAAAATGAACCATACCAATTACAACAAGGTCAACAAGGTAGTGACCTTGTTTGTTGCTTTGTTCATAATCGTTCTACATACAATTAGGATGTTGAAATCGATGAATTTCGGATTTCCGAATCACAGTATTTGTTTGCCTCCATGTTATAAACTCATATTTTTCCGGCAGTATATTCTCAAAGTGGAGGAAACATTGGTTGCATCTGCTGTGATCTGTTTTACAAAGATCCTGAACATGCAAGAACCCAATTTCTAGGAATCCGCTTAAACCATGTCTTTGGTTTAGTATAGAATTGTTGGGGTCATTGCCAAGTAAATATGTCTTTTAATTATCCAGGCTCATCGCAAAAATAAGTCTCCATCTTGTGGAGACTAGCCCAATGAGTCAGTCCTTTAACCTATGGAAATCTAGGGGTCATAAAACGCTTGTTTTACCTTTTTTTCAGGGACCCGAATGGCTCTGGCCGACGGGCTACTACATCCGTGCCAGACTGATCATGGCCCGACGTCTGGCAGACCTAGATCCCTCCTTAGCTTCGGTTCGAGCTCAGGCCGTGCGTGAGAGTCAGGAGATTCTGCTGCGTTTCAACAACCATATCCGAGCCTCACCATGGAGGTCACTGCCTGAGTTAACGCAGGTCAATGGTGAGGTGAGTTGGCAATCCTGTTGAGTTTTTATTCTTCCATTGGACCAGCGAGCTAGTCTTTACGGAATTCTTGTCATCTCACTGCCGTTTTGGCGTTGTGATTGCTCAGGTATTCTCATCGATGTTATAAGGTATTCAAATTTGGAAGTAGTTTCCTAATCGATGTGTACGAGGACTGAATGACTGGAAGCATTGATAACTTGAACAGAGTCGCATTTAACTATTGTGGAGGGTGAAATGCGAAAGCCTGGTTCATCTGAGAAGTAATGCTCAAGGTTGAATAATTTTCAGAAGTGAATCCATCTTGGAAACCGAAACCGTTGTCAGAATACTTGTCCAAAGCCGAAGTTATTTAATAAAGTGTAGTGTGGCATCCGGTGGATATCCCGCTTTCCGCCCTACTTTTTTCAGCGATCGGCTAGTTGAATTTCTCTCAGCTCTTTGGTACACAGGGACTCATCTATGTACACTTACAAATGCACAAAAGTATTGAGAGGCTAGCAGTCTAGGCATTCTTGCCAATATTGTGGAAAGTCTAAGCAGAAGAGATTGAAAAGGTCGATGTAGTTATATGTAAAATGGTTTAGAGCTCAACAGTGTGCCAGGTCCACACGATGACACAGTGGTATGTTGTTTTCGCAGTTCTGTCCGGGCAGCTGTGCTTCGCAGGCGTGGAGCGTCGGTACAGCAATTGAGGCCATCTACGACCTCCTCGAGACCAACGCCCGTATGCATGGTTTACCGTTCCCCCTGGCCTAACCAACCCTGTCTCCCTAGTTTTTTATCCCTATTCCCTTCTGATTCGTCTTATTTTTGAGTTTGTTCTCCAGTTACCTCCTGTTCTAATTCCTGTTTCCGTTTTGACTTTCGTGTTCCCATTACCATTTCTATCGCCGAGTTTCATAGCAGATTTACTATTTATCAACTTTTTGAATGATCAATCATGCATATGCCTGCAGCTGAACTGAGCAATCCACCTCATGGAAAGAGTGTGGTCTTGAAAGGTCAGCAATCAAGTGAGGCGGGGAGCGTGGTGCTTTCTACACCGCAAGTCTATGTGGGTGGACCGCGCGTTACCGACCCTGCGCTCTTTGCTGTGGGCAGTCAAGGCGCGGCATCAGTTCGGGTGGCTGTCTACAATGACCAGTTAAGAATTTTATGCAATGTTAGCTGAGATTTGAAGGTGACGATGATGAAGCTAACCATGATGATGATGATGTCTTTCACTGATTGCTTTTCACCTCCTTGCTTGTCTGCCTACTCTTACTCCCTCTAGATACATATTCGCCTATTTACCCACCCTTGCCACCTCGCTCTATTTAGATGACATTGCCCTGTACGCGCCTTTATGAAATGAAAAGAATACTTTCATTTCATAGGAAGGTGGTCTATTTGGCTGACATGTGGAAGTGGTTAGGTGAAGTCATTTAAAAATAATTAGTTTGACTGTTAATCATAAGCAACGGTAGTAACGGATTTTTTTGTGGAAAATAAGTATATCCTGCTCATATATAATACCAGAGTCTTAACAGGCGATTTCGCTGCTTTTTAGTTGCAGTACTGTAATATATTGTAGTACTTAGTCTTTGTTTTGGACAAGTTCAGTCGTTTATGCCATTTAAAGTACGTATTTATGTTAAACTGCACATTTTAACTTGTGATAAAGTATCTACTCCACTTTGAGATTTGTGGGAATCAAGTATGCTACTTTTCGGGAGTGAGTAAGGGCTTTTTTGTTCGGGTCGAAACTCGTACCTTTTATCAAAAAAAATATAAAAGTAGCTTTGTTTGAAATATTACAGAGAGACCATTATTTCGTTTGCTCAGACGATTCGAATGGAGTCACGAGATTTAGTGTGCACATAGACATTGAGCATAACGCTCAGGGAAGGTGGTTTTGTCAAAAATCGCCCTATTGAAATACTCTTCTAAAATATGATTTTACTATTTCGTACATAATCATATGCGTTTTTTAAAGTACAAGGAATTGTTACAACTCAAGTTATAAAAGGGCATCTTGACATCCCCAACCATAAATCCTTTCCAGCGTCGCCAGTTTAAGCGAGTAGAATACTGAAAGCTATGTATTTAATCTGTGGAAAATTAAGCTTTTACAATTTATGAGTAACTAAACTGAAAATTATCATCCTAGTCTACAGGGTTTATCACTATCTCTTATATGTGCACTTCATATTTCCAGTGTAAATTACTCATCCCTTATTCAGAACTCAGACTAAACGTTGAGTATTTTGACAAGTGCAGTAGGCAATTCACAAGTCATGAAATGTCCATTCTCTAGCATTATTTAAATTCCATACTAATGCACACAACAAGTTTATAGAAATTAGACCACAAATCGCAAAGCATATATTGGTAGACGCATCAATTGGACTAAGCTATCTGTTCACACATTACCTTTAAAAGGCAACAAAGGTACTTTGCTGACGTAAATCATGATAACGATTGAAAGCGGTGGTTATTCTTTGTGTAGCGGAGATTAGGACTGTGATCTTAAGCATTAAAACGCTTTTGGGCTGTAATCATATTGTTTAACATTTTATGCAATTCATTGCACTGACAGCTTTTTTCCTCTAAATTGATAAGTTGCGCTTTAAATAACAAATTATAGAGCTTATTCATAAAATTAATAAACTTTAATAAGTTAGTCTCCGCCTTCATGCTATTTTCTGTACATTAGAACGGCATGGGTATAATGATAGGCACTGATTAGATTTGCATTAGTCGTTTTTGTTTTGGAAGAATACCAGAGGAATTACAAAAAAAACAAGATGTGGGACAGAAGTGACAGTATTGCTCGAGACAAAAATAAGCAATAAAGTGCTGGCCTTTGTGGTTCCGTAAAGCAGGTAAGTGTATGCAAACATTTGTTTTTGTAAAACCGAGTAAATTATCATGAGATGAACAGTTGATATAACTTAAAAGCAGCTACGCAGTATAAAGGGCTGATCCACTTTAAACAGCCCTCGGTGAATTAAGCATTTGGTAAGAATGCCCAAACTTCTGGGATTGCTTGATTACTGTAAAACCCGTCAGAGAGGCAATGGACAAACCATCTTGCTTACATAAGTAAGTAAGCCTACAATAAATCAGAGCAAATCGTTTCATGCACAGATGACTATGCTTACCTATCGTGATTGTGAGCTGTAAACTACAGGGGCAAGTTTTTACTCGGTAAATGATAAAACTACAACCAAAGCTGTGACATCTATTCGATATGTGCGTGATGTCCGTCTGTCTAGAAGATATGATAAAGGTTCTTCCTCCTCTTTGAAAGTAACAAGAACTGGTCATTCAGTAAGAGAAAAATCGCAAGATAATTTGAGCCTTGGGATAGTCAAAAATACGTCATAATCACCTTCCATATTCCATTTGGCACCAGCATACCGAATAGAACAGACGGTTTTATAATGAGTGTAAAACAGAAATGGAGGCGGGCAGAACTAAGGCAAGTCTTGTATATTTTAAATGCCAAATGGCCAAAAAAGTGAAGTTTGTCATAAGTTAATGCCTGCTAAAAAGGCGGAGAGATTGAATCGCTAATCAGCCCATCAGTTGACACTTATGAAGAAGTATTCTTACGTTAGTTAATGCAATTATGCTATCGCCAAGTTATGCATATTTTCCGTTCCGTATTTCAGCATTTCTGTAAAAATTTACTTTTCTTTGGGATATTTTATTCGAGCAGTTTATTTTGATGAAAACTTAAGAGGAGGGGTAACAAAATTGTCTGGTTTATTTAAAGAATATTAGAAATTATTGAATAATCAAAAACTGGCCAAAAGTCTCTTAGCGGTAGTCATATTCACTCTAGATGCTGGTAATTTGCAATAAGGTCAGCAGATTTTGAAGTCTTTGAGCCTAGGTTCGGTATTTTTACCCAAAGTAGGTCTTTTCAACAGTGACTTTGAATGTGTGGAGGCCTTGTAAGATAATGACGTCTTCTGCCACATTCGCCCAAACTACAGACGATTGCGGCATCACGCTAACCAAATCCACTTTCGTGTTTCGTCGTAAATACAATGATGACGTATGTGGCTGGTTCGAGACCATCCACAACGGTGCGATTATGAACCATTTGCCATGTCATCAAGGCTCTGAATTGTCTGGTTGCTTCAAATATTTCCTTTCTGTTGTACAATAAACTGAGTTCAGAAATAGCCGACTGAAATAGCTACATTAACATTAGGCGGCGTATTCAAACATCTACTAAAAAGAAATGCAATTCTTTTTGGTTGCTTTACGGCAATTAGCTTGAATTCTTCAGATTATGCAAAAGAATGTGCTCTAGTCGGATAATGTACAAACTTTGCCCAATATTATTGCCCAATTTTTAATTTCCTCGAATGAGAAAAAGATAAATTATGACGATAGCAGTGGTGCCAAAATAGTACCTGGTATGATAATCTCGCGGTAAAACTTTTCAATCACTGACTGAATGAAGAAACACGTGTTCTACGACTCAGTACTTCGGTAAAAAGTGTTCCACGAGCTCCTAAATAACTGCAAAATCCATGTAATTACGACAGTAAATCAAGAAGAAGGTTTCCATTCTATAAAAGGCGATTAATAGTATTTCCAGGAAGGTTAACATCTGCTTCAAACAGCCATTGCTTGCCAAATGAAAAATCACATGCGGTTGGTACAGATGTAGGGGTGGCTTTTAGAAATAGTCTAAACAAAACCAGTGACCAATGGTCGAGGGATCAGTCATCTGGAGGGTTAGCAATGGACGCTTACAACTTCATTGTCTACAAAACCCTCTCAGCATTTTCAAGTGTTTGTCGTGCGCCAGTTGTGCCACGTCCACGAAATTGTTAACACAAAC